GACCTTCGGCCCTCCCGTCCCATGCCGGCCACGTTGACCACGCTGACCCTCCAACCCTTCCTGTCCTCCCCACCAACCTTTCCCACCACCCCGCCCCGTCCCGCCCTTTTTTTTTTCCCTCCAGACCCTCAAGTTTTTTGCCGCCATGGAGGCCTCCAATTCTTCCTGCATCCTGGACCTGGAGGTGGTGGTGGAGAAGCGGTGCGTGCGTGTGTGTGGGGGGGGGGGGCGCCTGCCTGCCGCTGCCGCCCGCCTGCCGCTGCCGACGCGTCGGCCCGGCACGCCCCTGCTGCGCCCATCGCGCGCCTGCCGTGCTGCCTGCCTGCTCGGCACGGCTGTCGTGCCTCGCCCCCAGCCAGTTTGCACGGCCTGCCCGCCCGCCCAGCGAGGTGGCCCAGCACCGGGCGCCTGTAGGGCTGCGCGCCCTCAGCCTGCCGGCTGCGCCACATGCTGCCCAGCTGCCATGCCCTCACCCCTCTGCCGCCGCCGCCTGTTTGTGTCGCCCCTGCAGGTGCGACCGCTACTCAGCCATGCTCTACCCTGCCAACGCCGCCCGCAACCGTGCCCTCGTCAACGCCAAGACGGGTGGGTGGGTGGGGCGGCTGCCGGGCTGCTGACGTGGTGGGGAGCTGGGCGGGCGGGCGGCGCCCGGGGCTGGACCCGCTCCTTGCACCTGGCGGGGCCTATCTGCTGGCGCCCTGCTGTTGTTTTGTTTTTATGTTCATTGCATTGCGTTCCATCGCTGCTGTGCGCCCTGCTGCTGCCGTGCCCTGCCTCTAGCAGTTACCATGCTGCTGCCGGTTCACATGCGTTCCTTTTGCCGTGCGCCCCCACGGCTTGCTGCTGCTGCCGCAGACGCCATGCTGCTGGTGGATGTGGACTTTGCGGTGAGCCAGAGCCTGGCGGACCTGGTGCGCGGGGAGGCCACCTACAAGCGCCTCATGTCCATGCTGCACAACAGGCAAGCCCCGCGGGGACTCTCCTTTTCTCCAATGCCGCGATGCGACTCCTGCTTTGCTAGTCCCGACCATGGCCTGCCCGCTTGGCCCTGCCCTGGCCCGGCCTGACCCGGCCCCTGCGCCCCGCCCCGCCCCCTCTGCAGGAACGCGGTGGTGCTGCCGGCGTTTGAGACGCAGGACGACGGCGAGGCGGGGCGGCAGGTGGCGCTGGAGTGCGTGCGCCGCGGCAAGCCCTACGTCGTGCGCAAGTTCGAGTGAGCGGGGCAGTGATCATTGTGGCTGCTGTCTGCCTTCTCACAGACGCGGGTGGCGGAGGGGCAGCAGAGGAGGGACAAGGGTTGTTTGAGTTTATGTTGTTGCGCAACCCCGTCGCCCCACCTCTCCGGTTCGCTCCCAAACACCCTGCCGCCGCTGCCTGCCTCCTTGCCCGCAGGTGGAACATCGTGTTTGGCTTTCATGTGCCTCAGTACCCGCAGGGCCACCAGGCCACCGACTACTGGCGCTGGATCAAGAGCCGGGGGGCCTACCCGGTGCAGTACCAGGTGCGGCGCTGGCGGTACCACAGGCAGCACCAGGCAGCGGATCCTGCGCCAGGCTCCCTCCGAGGCCGCAGGAACAAGCTGGGCCGCCGGCTCAGCGTTGTTTTCTTTCTGTGGGCATGGGGTGGGAGGCAGGCCTGCCGTGCATCCGCAGCGGCGCCTCTGACCTCTGCTGGCTCATCAGTTATCTCCGCTGCTGTACCGCAGATCGGGTACGAGCCGTACATCATGATGCACCGCGCCTACATCCCCTTCTACGACGAGCGGTTCAGGGGGTACTACTGGTGAGGGCGCGGCTGGGCTGTGTGGTGGTTGTGTTGCAGTGCAGTGCGCCTGTCAGTGTGTGGGAATGGTGTCGGGTGGCGTCGGCGTCGCTGCTGGCGGCGCCTGCTGCTCCCCGGCCTGCTGTTCTCACGCCCCGGTCCCTTGCCCCGCCATGTCCCCACCCTGCCCCCTCCCCGCAGGAACAAGGTGCAGCACCTGATGCACATCAGCCTGCAGAACGGTTTCAATTTCCTGGTGCACCCCACCGCCTTTGTGGTGCACGTGCCGCACAAGAAGCCCTCCACCAAGTGGCTGACCCGCAAGATGGGGCAGGTGGGGAGGCGCCGCCATTCCTCTTACCTGCCGTAGGCCCGCGACAGCGTTGCCTGTGACAGCATTGCAGTCCACCCCGGCAGCCGGGGCTCCCGACTCTCCCTCGCATCAGCCTGGCTGTCGCAGCGCTGCTGCCGCCGCCGCCGCGTGGCGGCACCCCAGGCCGAGAGCATCCTCGCCCCACACCGCGCCACCTCCTCGTTCGCGCCGCTCGCACCCTCATGCCGTGCCGTCTGTTCACGTCCCCCGCTGCTTTCCTCCCGCCGCTCGCAGAAGGAGAAGAATCACATGCTGTTTGACAACGCCCTGTTCCACATGCGCCAGATGGACTTTGTTCCGGTCACCTCCTGGGCCGAGCACTGCACGCCAGAGGCAAGGCCCTGCCGCCGTTGCTGCTCGCTGCCCGGCGGCCGGCGGCGGCCGGCGGCTGCATGGGGGACCTGCCGCCGCGGCTGCCGCCGACTGGTGCCGCCGCCGCTGCCTGCCGCCGCGCGCGGCCGCCGCCGCGCGCTACTGCCGCACTGCACGCACTGCCGCGCAGCACACATGCACAGGCGCCGCCCCGCCCGCCCCGCGCTCCCCGCAGGCCGCGCCTGTGCTTCCAGGGGAGGACGAGGCGCGGGAAGTGGCGGCCATGAAGGCGGCCGCGGAGCGGGCTGCTGCGGAGCAGGCGGAGCTGCTGATGCAGCAGCACGCCTCGCTGCAGGAGGCGGCGGCGGCGGCCGCCGCCAAGCGGGCGGCTGAGGTGGCCGAGGCGGAGCTGTGGATGTCGCAGAACGCCGAGGCGGCGGCCGCGGCCACCAAGCAGCGGCAGGAGGCGGCACTGGAGGAGGACGCGGCCTTCCTGGCCGCGCAGCACCAGCACCAGCAGCAGCTGGCAGCGGCGGCGGCGGCGGGCGATGGCGCCGCCGACGAGCGGGCCGCGCAGCAGGCGGAGGCCGGCGGCGAGCTGGACGCAGCGCCCGGCGACGTGGTGGAGCAGGCGGCGGCGGCGGCTGCAGCCGAGCAGGCGGCGCAGCAGCAGGCGGCGGCCGGGGCGCAGCAGGTGGCACAGCAGGCTGGGGCTGGGCAGGCTGGAGCTGAGCAGGCTGCACAGCAGGTGGTGGCAGCTGGCGCTGACCAGGCGCAGCAGGTCGCGCAGCAGGCGGTGGCTGGAGCCCAGCAGGCCGTCCAGCAGGCAGCCGAAACTGAGCAGACTGAGCAGGCCGCACAGCAGGCGGTGGCAGCTGATGCCACCCAGGCGCAGCAGCAGGTGCAGCAGCTGGCCACGCAGGCTGGCGAGCAGGCTGCAGCCGGGAATAGCCAGGCTGCGCAGCAGCAGCAGGCTGCTGCCGAGGCTGGCCTGGCCGCGCAGGAGCAGCTTGCTGCGGGTGCTGGCCAGGTCGCCCAACAGCAGCTGGCTGCTGCCGGCAGCGGGCAGGCTTCACAGGAGCAGCCTGCAGGTGCTGGCGCGCAGACTGTGCAGCAGCAGCAGCCGGCGGCGGGCGGCCAGGGGGCGGCCGGGCAGGCGGCTGAGCTGGCGCTTGCTGGTGCGGCGCACTCTCGGGATCAGCAAGGTTTGGAGGCAGAGGGTGCTGAGGACGGCGAGGGCAAGGAGGGCACCAGCGGCGGCCTGGAGCAGATCAGTGGCAGTGAGGAGGAGGAGGAGGCGGCGGAAGGCGGGGGCAGGAGGTCGGAGCCCGTGGAAGAGCTTGAGCTGATGGGCGGGGAGGAGGAGGAGAAGGCAGCCCTGGGGCAGCACCAGCCGGGTGGCGAGGCCGCCGCAGGCGAGGCGACTGCTGAGCAGCGCAGGCGGCAGTAGGCTGCTGGCGCACGACCGCCCTGTGTGTTTTCTAGACCAGCCGACAGCTCTCGGACAGACGACCGATCAGACCGACCTGCCGATACTGGCGCAAACTGACCCCTGTAGCCCACTGTTAGTTGCTTTAGTTTTAGTTAGCCGGCTTACCCCTGCCAACCAGCCCAGCTGGCTCCTGACAGCTCTCCTCTCTGCCATCCACACCAGTCCATCTCCTTCCCCTTTGCAGGCGGCCCCACGTCGGTGGCCTGCCTCTCTCTCACTTGCAACCCGCTCAGCACTGCTAAGTACGCCCTCCTTTCACACACTATCCCTTGCCGTGAGTGTCATACATCAAGGTGCCTAGCTGCTGGCTCGTCGCGAGCCCCGTTCCACCCCTTGTCCCACTGCACTGCCGAGCGCTTTCGTTCCGAGCGTGCCCTCCCTCCTTGGCGGCGGCGGCACAACTCTGCCGCTGCTCCACACCGGAGGTTGGGAGCGCTCTTGCCCAAACATAACACCTCTTCGTACTAGTGCTGACGTATTCTTTTGTATTCCAACCCTGGTAATGCCGACCTGACGAATTTGAGTGATGCAAGCGCCAAGTTGGGCCGGGCCTTGGTAGCGCTGTCGCCCCGCTGGCGGCGGCCCGCGGGACTTCTGATCACCTCCATCGGCACTCCCGCTCGTTTTGCATTCTCGGTGAGCCGCAGACCATCTCTGCCATCTTTCCTGCCCGCAGTGCAGGGCGATGGCGCCGTCTAGGTCTTAGCCTGTCGTCCCGGTAACGCTCACCTCTACGGCTCCTGATCGCCGCCTCTCTGGATCGAAGCATCGCTGTTTATGGCCGCGATGAAGTGGAGGGAGGGCGACGCGGTCGAAGTGCGTTTTGCTTGAGCCTGTTGCCTCGGCTGCCCCGCTGCCGTGCGTGTGTGGCTCCCTGGATGCGCCCAAGCACACAGCGGGGGCCGCCGCCTGCAGCCATGCACAAACTTGTCGCCGCCCGCCACCCCGCCCACGCTGCCGCACGCCGCCGCACCGGGTTGCTGAGCCACTGCGCCCCTTCTAACCTGTGCTGAAGGTGGGCGGGGATCCAGAGGAGGAGGGATGGGAGGGCTCATGGTGGGGCGCGGTTCTCCTCAAGGCCAAAAAGAAGCGGGCGAAAGTGCGGTACGACGAGGTGGGTGCCGGCGGCGGTGCTGAGGTTGAATTATTCATATGCTGCAGCAGCACCCCTGCGCCTGGCCGTGTTCATGTGCTGCAACACATGGCATGCCAGGCTAGCGGTGCGGCGCTGACGCCGAGACGGCCGCGGCAAGGAGAGCCCGCGTCTCGCTCCCTCCATTCTGCACCCAACGAATGCCGCGCTCGAGCGGCACGGCTTGCGCCTTTTGCCACCCGCCTCTGCCGCGTGCTGCAGATGCTGGATGAGGGTGGAAAGGACAAGCTGGTTGAGGAGGTGGATGCCTCGCGCCTGCGCCCCAAGTGCCCGGACGACAGCCTGGCCGTGCCGCTCAGCCGCCGCATGCCGGGGGACCCCATCGACTGCTGGCACGAGGACGGCTGGTGGGAGGTGGGTGGGGGGGTGGGGGGGTAGCGGGCCCGTGTGCGGCAGAGCAGAGGCGGCCGCGGCCGCGGCGGCAGGAAGTGGAATTAGCACTTTGGTGCGGTGTGCGAGCGAGGCCTCAAAGCGCACACGCGTTGCTTTCATGCGCCGCCTCGGTCGCGGCCATCGGCCCGCCCCTTGCCATCGTCCAACCTCCCCTCCCGCCCCCACCCACTGGCTGGCGGCGCAGGGCTACGTGCACCGCGTGTTTGACGACCACCTTACAGTCTACTTCCCGGGTAGGTGTGGATGCTGGGTGCAAGTGTTGGATGCTGGGTGCAAGTGTTGGATGCTGGGTGCAAGTGTGGATGCTGTGTGCAAGAGTGGATGCTGTGTGCAGGGCCTGTGTGCGCCTGTGGGGCCCGCTGTGTGGGCTGGGGCATGGCGTGCTTGCGTGGGTGGAGGGGGCTGCTGCGGCAGCCCTGCTGCCGCTAACGTCGGCCACCTGCCATGCCGCCCAGCCCCTCGCCGCTCCCACCCTGCATCTTTATCACGCCCAGCTTCCCCATCAGTTCTTGCCTCACAACCTGGGAGGAGCGGCATAGGCTGAATTCCCCGCTCGCGCTGCCTGTCGCCGCGCCCTGCCGCTGCTGCAGCCTCTCAGGAGGAGTATGATGACATCTACCCTCCAACCCGCCCCAGGCCAGACCCAGAGGCCCACCGCGTGCGCACCGGAAAGAACTGGGATGCTGAGCAGCAGGCCTGGGTGCCCCGCCCCCGCAGAGCCTTCAAAGGCGCCCGCAACCTGCGCACCGGGCCGCCCGCGGCTGGTGCGGTGGCGCTGGCAGCGGCGCGCCGAGGCGCGCCGCCCAGCAGCAGCAGCAGCAGCAGCGAGGACGATGGCGAGCCGTTGTTGTCCCGCCTCAGCGCCCAGAAAAGCAAGCAGCAGCAGAAACCGCAGCAGCAGCAGCAACAGAAGCAGCAGCAGCAGCAGCAGAAACAGCAGCAGCAGCAGCAGCAGCAGAAACAGCAGCAGCAGGCGCCCGGCGCCTCCCGGCGGCCGCCGGCTGCAGGGGGGCGGCCACCTAGCCCAGCCGATGTGGCGGCGAGGGCCGCTGAAAGCCTGCAGCGAGCTGCAGCCGGCGCAGCAGCAGCAAAGTCAAAGATGGAGGCGGCGAAACCGGCGGCGCCGGCGGCAGCGGCAGCACCAGCATTGGAGCGCCTTGTATCGGAGCCTGCGGAAGCGAGCGTGCAGGCCGCCAAGACGAGTGTGGTGGACCTGATTGCCACCCTGGATGATAGCGAGGAGGATGAGGGAACGGCAGCCCCGCCGCCGGCTGCGGCTGCACCAGCACCGCCCAAGCAGGCAGCCGCCCCTCCTGCCGCCTCTCCTCGGACGGCCCCAGCGGCCCAGCCGCCACCAGCAGCAGGCGGCGCCTCGGCACCGGCGGCGCCGCCGGGACCCGTGCAGGGGCAGCAGCAGGTGCCGGCAGCACAGGAGCCAATGCCGCAGAAAGGCGTGGGCAAGCCGCCGCCGCAGCAGCAGCAGCAGGCAAAAAAGCGGAAGAAGGATGCGCAGCCGGACCAGCAGCAGCAGCAGCAGCTGGCGCTGGAGCGGAAGCCTAGCCAGGCGGCGGGCAAGCGCAAGCTGCTGCCTCTGGAGCCTGCAGACTTAGAGTTCAAGACCGGACCTGCAAGGCCGCCGCCGCAGCGGCAGCTGCAGCGCAAGCAGGACGAGCAGCAGGCGCAGCAGGCGCAGCAGGCACAGCAGCAGCCAGACTCTGCCAGGGCAGAGAGGGCCCAGGCAGCAGCGGCGCTGCCGCCTGCCATGCGTGGCCCTATCATGCTGGCCGCCTCTGCCAGCATTGCGGCCGCAGCGGCGGCAGGAGCCAACCGCAAGGCCGCGCCTGCCGCCAAGCAGAAACGCACGGCTGCCGCGCAGGAGGGCGACGCGCAGCTCAAGCGCCAGCTCAGCGACAGCAGGCTGGACCGTGCGGGCGGAGGAGCGGGCAGGGCTGCCGGCGGCGGCGGCGGTGGCGGCGGCGGTGGTGGCCTGTTCATCATCCCAAAGCGAGTGGAGTATGGCTCGGGAGGTGGCCCCACCCTGGACCCCTCGCCTCGCTCCGCCACCGCAGCAGCCCGCCCGCAGCCCGGCCAGAAGCGGCGGCGCGCGGAGGGCGGCGCGGCGGCGGCCGCGGGCGGCAGGGCGCCGCGGTGGCGGGATGACGACGCTGCAGCGGCGGCGGCGGCGCCCTCGCCGCGCGTGGCGGGGGCCCCGCCGCCGATCATACCAAAGGTGCAGCAGCGGCAGCAGCGGCGGCCGCGGCAGCAGCTTCCTCCTGCAGAGGAGCTGGACTATGATCCCGACTTCCCCACCACCTTTTGTCTGGACAACCTGCCTGCCTGCGTCAGCAGCCTGGTACTGGAGGAAGCCCTGGCGGGGCTAGGCCTGCAGGGCTTCAAGGTGCGGTGCGGCGTGTCTGCTGGGCTGCCCTGCGGGCCTGGCGGCGGTGGCCGTGATGGCGGCGCATCCGCGGCCGCTCCTGCTGCTGCTGCCGCGCCCCGTCCTGCGCTCCACACACCCCGCGGCGTGCCTCCGTCACCGCCCTGCCGCCAACTCCTCTGCCCCCAACAAGCATGCACACACTGCCCTACACCACCCCGCGTCCTGCCCTGCAGAGCGTGCACGTCGTGTCGGTGCCTCTCGACAGCGGCGACCGCATGGCGGGGTATGCCGTGCTGCGCTTCCAGTCCCCCGCCTGGGCGCACCGCCAGTACGACAGGCACGCACGGCCGCCACAGGATGGGGCAGGGCGGAGAGGTTGCGGGTTGGTGGTTGGGTGAACACCAAGAGTCCCTGCCTGCCTGCCTGCCCACCTGCCCGGCTGCCCGACCAAGCCACCCGGCTGCCGCCCCGGCTGCCGGCCTCCTCGGCCTGCCTGCAGGCTGCGCAGCCTCTGCATACTGACGCCCACCTGCCCCGTGCCGCGCCCGCTGCTCCTGCACGAGCCACGCATCAGGTGGGAGCTCTGTCCGCCGCTGCTTGGCAGCCTGCCACCCAGCGGCGCACCACCCTGCTGCCGCTGGTGCCGCCGCCGCATGCTGCAGAGGCTCATGCCAGCGGCCAGCCCACCCCATGCCCGGGGCCGGCAGCTGGCTGCCCTGGCTGCGCCTGCCTGGGTGTTCACTCTTGCGTGTGTGCCCGCTGCTCCACCAGCTGCGCTCCTCTGCCTCACAGGCCGCTGGCACCTCCCCTGCTGCTGGCTGCGCCCGCAGGAAGGAGTATGGGTGGGGCCCCGAGGCGCGCCTTCCCGGCCACTTCCCGCTTGATTATGCCGCCAACCAGCACTTTGCCCAGGTGCCTCCCTTTGTGTGTGCTGCATTGCCTCGCAGCCAGTGCTTTGCCCAGCTGCGTGTTTGTGTGTGCTGCCTTGTTCGGCCCAGGCAGCCGCGGCCGCGGTACCTGGCGCTGCCCCGGCGGGGCTGGTGTGGCCTTCTAGCAGCCTGGGCAGGGTCACGCTCCAGGCGATGCCTTGCCCCGTGCATGTTCGAGTGTAGCCTCCACCACCCCCTGCCTGCCGCCCTGCCTCCCTGCCGCCGCACCCTGCCGCCTGCAGCCCAGCAGCATCGAGTTTGACCTCGCACTGGACTGGCGCCAGCTGCTAGGGGTGCTGGCTGCGGCCAAGCAGGGGCTGTGCCGGGAGCAGGCGGGCGAGCTAGCGCAGCTGCTGGCCGCGTTTGTCAAGGTGTGCCGCCTGCCCGCAGCCCCCGCCCGCCCAGCCCCGCACGCCACATCCCTTCCGGGCATTGCTCGGCTGCGCACATGCCGTGCACCACGGCGTTCATGAGCTGATGCCGTGCCTCTGCTGGTGCCTCAGGCCGGGGCGCCGGTGCTTCAGCATGACTGGCAGCCAGCCAAGGCCCCCACCCTGCCCGCTCCCCGCGTGCCGCGTGCCGCAGGAGAGCGGCCAGCCCGAGCCGAGCCTGGACCTCGGGCGCCTGCTGCTTCCCGGGGAGGCAGAGGCTGCTGCACCACCGGCCGCCGACCCGCCAGCCAGCCACCCCCAACCCTTGTGGCGCAAGGTCTTTCGGCGGGGCAGGGCCGGCGCGGCAGCGACGCCGCCGGCGGACGCCGCGGGGGGCCCGGCCTCGTCCTGCGTGTGGCTGTCGGGCGTGCCGGTGGCGGTGGGGGAGGACACTCTGAAGGAAGTCTTCCGCCAGTTTGGCTTCCCTCAAAAGGTGAGTTGTGTGTGTGCGGTTGCGGTGCCAGTACGTCTGCGGTGCCAGGCGAGAGGCGTGGGTGGCGTGGAGCCAGCGGGAGCGCAGCATGCATGCTGTGGTTGGTTGTGCTGGGCGCATGCCTGCGCTGCGCCGCTGCCCATGCGAGCGCGCACAGTGGAAGCGGCTGGCTGGCCCGCCTACACACACGGACGCGCGCGCACGCCCCTGCAGGCGGTGCTGGTGCTGGATCCGGTGACCCGGCGCCCCAGCAGCCACGCCGTGCTGTGGATGGAGTCGCAGCAGCGGGCGCGAGACCTGGTGCAGGCGAGCCGCCAGGCTGCGGGGCGAGGGGGAGCAGCTTCTTGCTGCTGAACAGAAACAGAAAAGACAAAGCGGGCCGACACACGTTCAGTCGCATGCGCACGATGCCCCCTGCGCTGTCTTTGTCCTCACGTGTGCCCTGGCCCTAGCGCTGTTCCTCCTGACAGGCTGGCATGACTCACCCCTCCCCGCCTGCAGAACCTGCGTGACATGGTGTTCATGCTCAACGGCACGCCGCGCGCCGTGGACGCCACGCTGGCGGTGCCAGGTCAGCACGACGGGGCGCCGCCGCCGCCCGGCGCCGCGCCGCCGCGCAGCCTGCACAGCGGCGGCCCTGCACGCAGCCGCATAATCTCAGCACAGCCTGCAAGCTGCCCCGCTCCGCACTGCGAGCCGGAGCCGGTGCCATGGCGGTGGCCGGGTCGTGTGCCGCCGCTGCTGCGCTCGCCGACGTGCCGCCCCTCACCCAGCCCGGTCTGGCGCTGCTGCTGTCGGTGTCGTTGCCTGCAGGCCCTCCCCGCGGCTCCCAGTCCACCTATGACAGAGCGCTGCGGTGCGTGTTTGGGGCGGACGACTCGGAGCTGGAAGGTGAGCGGGCGGCTGGCAGTACACAGAAGTACACATCTTGTGCGGCGTTGCGAGCAGCTTTCTGAACAGAGCGGTGGTACAAGCAGAGAAACCCCTGTCGGTGCCACGAGCGCCTGCCGTCCCGTTCATCCTCCTCCCGAGCTCTTCTGTTCCCTCGCCTGCAGGCCACATCAGCTTTGTGGAGGTGCCCGATGAGCTGCTGCTGGCGGGGGGCGGCGCCAAGCCCGCCGAGCGAGCCGCCATCTCGCTGCGCCGCCTGCTGCTGGCCCACCGCAAGGAGCAGGTGTGCTCGCCGGCTTCTGAACCCGCCTCTGGTGCTGCTCTCTCTCTCCCTCCCTCCTTGTGTCTCTCCCTGCCCTGGCCGGGGGGCTGCCGCGCTGTCCAGTCCAGCCGCCGGCCGCGCAGCCGCTCCCAGCTCCCCGGCATGCTGCGGATCCACACCCCTGCCTGCCCCCGCCTCTCCGTCTTCTTTCCGTCCAACCAGCTGCCCGCATGCCTGCCCCGCCGCCGCTCCCGCTGTGCAGGCTGAGCTGGCTCGGGAGAAGCAGGTGCGGCAGGCGGAGCTGGATGAGCGGCAGCGCAAGCAGCTGAACGACGAGCGCTTCAAGCTGGGCCGCCTGGCGCAGATGCAGCTGCAGAACGGCCCGGTGCGTCCACCCGCCGGCTGCGCCCCGCTGTTCGCTCCTCGTGCTGGCGCCGTGGGGCGCGTTGCAGCGTTGCAGCGTGGGCAGCTTAGGAGTTTGGGCGGCTTGGCAGCCGTGCTTGGCCTTGCCCCACGTCATCCTGCCTGCTCGGCTCTGCTGCTGCGCGCTGTTGAAGCTTGGAGTGCCGACTGCCTGTGCCGGTGTTATGTACTGCTGCAGGATGGCAAGACCTTGCTGCAGTACCTGCTTGAGAGGCACGGCCTGCGAGGCTTGAAGGTGTATAGGAACAAGGACGCCGGCAAGCTGGCGGCCATGGCGGCGGCGGAGCAGCGGCGGCGGGCGATGGGAGGGACGCAGAGGGACGCGCGGGGGGTGGCGCTGGCGCCGCTGCCGCAGCACCGCGCGCAGGCGCAGCGTGCCGGGTGATGCCCCGGCGACGCGAGCTGAGCGGCAGCAGCGAGGCTTGCATCGACATTTATTGGGTTAAAGCGAATGCAGGCGAATGCAAGTGCAACTTGAGACTCTCCAGCGACGGCTGAGGTGCATATTGGGCAGAGCGCCGCCGACTATAGGGGGCGTCGCCCAGCCGTGGGTACCCCCTCAGAACATGTGATGTCATCTTCCTTGGATCGAAGAATGCTGCGATGGGATCAAAGAGTGCACAAACGGCAGAGAGCCGCGTCCCCAAGCCAAGGCGCGAAGTGTCGGGTGACTTTGCGTGAAATCAGCATTATCCCCTTCCGCCGGTATTCTTATGTTCGAAAACCCTGCCAGATCTTATTGTACCACACAGAAGAGATAGCTGACTTCGGAGAGCGGAGCCCACCCCATCGCGCTAGGTGTGTGGCCGGGAGCAGCTGAACTGGTGCTCAAACATCCTATCCACCACAGAAGGCAATTGGGCAGCGAGAACTGGAGCCGCCAAAGGCCTCTGTCCACGGGGCTGGCATGCACCCGAAAAGGTATCGCCCGGCCTCCCGCTGTCTGCTCAAAGCCTGGCCAACTGCGCCATGCAGGTACATCACAGCAGCGCTGCAGCAACCATCGCAAGGGCGCCACGCGCGGGTTTGGGCTCCCACCTCTGGGCGGCAGCGGCGGCAGGGCGCCATGAGCAGCCACAACAAGCACACCACCGCTCGGCCACCCGGGCAGCAACGCTGGGCGACCCGCCTGGCTCGCCTTATCGCGCTGCTGCTGCAGTGCGTTGCTGCTGACCCAGAGGTAGCAGTAGCCACGGCAGGGGCGGCAGCGGTGGGGCAGGCGACGCCCACAGCCGACAGCCGCATTCCAGCCAATGTTCAGCGGCTGCTGGACCGCCTGCTACAAACGGCCAGCCCGGAGGACGTCCCACACGACTACACGGGCAGGTTTGCCTTTGCCTCAGCCAAAGACCAGGCGCTGCTGCCGGCGGCGCTGCTGGAGCTGGCTGGCGAGCCCGCCGACGAGACAGCTGGCGCCGACGAGGCAGCCGGCACGGTCGTCGCGGCGTCGCTGGCGGCCTCCCTGCCGACGGGCGCTGCCGCCAGCCACCAGACGCAGCCTGCCGCCATCGGCACGCGGGCCGCCGGCCCGGGCGGAGCGGCGGAGGCGGCTGGCGGCTGGCTGGCGGCCTTCTTGGGCGACACCCTCAGCCTGCAGCCCCACACCCTGACTGAGCTGGAGGAGGAGGAGGAGGAGGAGGAGGAGGTTAACATTGAGTTAGAGATAGACGGCACAGCAGGCGACGTGGCGCAAGACAATGAAGTGGAGGTGGACAGCACCACCACCACGCCCGCCTCGCTGCGCCGCCTGCTGGGCCCGCTCCGCGGCGCCTCAGCCCGGCGCTGGCTGCGCCAGAAGAAGGGGCGGCGGCCGCGGCCGCGGCCGCGGCCGGCGCGGCGGCCACGCCCGGCCCAGCGAGCGTGCCCGCCAAAAACATACTGCTGGGTGGAGCCGGGGCCGCAGCTGAAGCGGGTGAGCGCGCTGGTGGGTGGCCGGTTGCTTGCATGGGCTGCCGGGTGCGAGTGCAAAGCATGGGTGGCAGGCAGGCAGGCCCACAAGCATGAGATCCCGCAGCCCTCGCCTCCCCAGTCTGCGCTGACTGCGCACTTCTTACACACACTGCTTACGCAGAGAATTGTGGGCATCACAGTCGCGTTTGAGAACAATGCGCGAGCCCCACGGTACGGCTATGCAGAGAAGCTCGGGGACGGCAGGTGTGTGGCAGCTGCCGCCAGACCGCTCTGTGTGTGTAATACAGCTAGGCGGGAGCGGCGGTGCTAAAGATGCAGCTGGCTGCTGGGCCGCCGCTTTGCAGTTGCCAGTGCTGCCGCCGCCATCCCCAACCCTGGTGCAATGGTGAGCGCTCGTGCAGGGGCATAACCTTCGGGAGGTGCGGCTTCTGCACAGGCACCGGCGACGGTGAGTCCCCATTTTTTGCTGCCCATCGGCGCTGCAAGCAAAGCTTGCTTGGGCCCCTGCTTTTGCCCCTGCCTGCGGCAGCTTACCACCATGCCTGTACCCATCCCATCTGCACCACTGTACCGCTGTACTGCAGGTGTGCGGGTCATCAACCTGTATGCCGCCTACCGCCCCAAGTCCAAGCTCGCCTCGTACCTGCCCGCCCTGCGCGCCATCAACGAAAAGGTGCCTGGGCTGCTGTGTTGTGCACGTCTGTGTGGTGGCGGTACATACGAGTGGTGCAAGGTGGCTGCTGTTGGGACGGAGATGAACCCCCCCAAAACAGCCAAGGTAACCTAATGCACAGTGTGATCAGCGCCACGCTATGCCCACCACGCCGAGGCTGCAGGGCGGCGGCGACAACGTGGATGGGCTGGACGGCTTCGAGGCGGCGGTGGCGGCGGCCGCCGCCGACTCCGCCTTCCGGTGCGGCCCGGCAGCACAGCCTTGCGCAGTGGAAGCACCATGCAGAGCTGTGCAGTGGCAGCGTGCCTGCGCTCGTGGCCACCTTGGCATGCCTTTGCTGAAGGGAAGGTCAAGCTGTGCTCCCTACACCGGAGGTTCCTCGCGTCGCCTGCCTCCCCAGGCAGCGTGCCTGACCGCTGTACCATTGCGCTGCATGTACCGCTGTACTGCTTCAGGTACGCCCAGGACGTGCTGCACGAGACCATGTACTACCGTCCCGCCATGGCGCTGTCCCGCGCCGTGGGCGCCAGGTGCGGCCCCAAGCGCCTGCCGCAACACCAGGGCAAACAACAAGCCTCAGCTTTGCTGGGACAATGGCCCTGGTTCGATTCGGCATTGCTGCTGCCCGCGCCGCAGGTTTGGCATCACCAAGGGGGAGATCTACGACACCTTCATCCAGCACGGCTGGAGCGACAGCATGTCTGTTGACTCGGGTGAGTGCTTAAGCTTGCGGCGAGGTGGCTGCTCAGCTCCCAAGCCTTTCGAGCCGGGGCCAGCTGGCGAGTTCGCCCCATGCCGGCCTTCGAGCTGGCCGAGCAGTGCTGCATGCACCGCGGCAGGCAGGCGCCGACCGCTGCCCGTCGCGCCGCTGCCTGGCTGTGTGTGCGTGCCTGCAGTGGGCGGCATCACGCAGGCCGCCTCCGCCAAGACCGGCGGGCGGCCGATGGTCGCCGACGAGCGGCGGTGGCTGGCAAACTTCCTGGAAGCCAGGTGGGGGTCACAGCTGCACACTGCGCTGGGCCAAACTGGCGGCGGCGGGAGGCTGGCGACTGGGAGGCGTGCGTCCTGCATGCTGTTCTGTGCTGTGCTGTGCTGTGCTGTGGCCCAGTGCCTGACCGCCGCGTGGCGGCGCTGCCCCCGGCGCAGGCGGGCGGTCCTGGGAGGGGCCCACAAGTGGCTGGACGCCACCTACCGAGTGGATGCATACCAGCGCTTCCTGGACCGCGGCAACCTGGCGCTCAACGGGCCCGTCAAGGCGAGCGCGGGCTGTGGCCGGGGCGCCGGCGTCGGCGTGCGCCTTGCTCCTCCCTGCCCTGCTTCTTCCGTTTGGAGGAGCCTTCTCTGCTGCTGCTGCTGCGTGCGCCACCCGCTGGTCACGCGGTGGCGCCCCATCCAGCGCGGCGGCTGCTGCCGCTGCTGGTTGCCCAGGCAGCCGTGGCCTCCTGCTGACGGCAGTCTCACGTGCCTGCAGGTCATGAGCGTCGTGGTGCCCTGAACAAGAGGCACCCCAGCACGCCGCGCGGGCGGCAGACGTGCACATCTGAGAGAGTAGCAGCGCGCGATATGGACGTCCCCCCTAGCTAGCTCCCCTGTGACAAACTGGGAGCCAGCTCCAAGCATCCTCATAGATAGCAGAGAGCGTGTCGACCCTGCCTGAAGCGCCACAGGAGCAAGCGGCTGCTTCCTCCGCGCTTGCGGCGGGCGCCAGCTGCCCGCCAGCGTAGGAACCAGCTGCAAATCTTTCATGCATAACCCTTGCCGCATACACACACCTCATTTCCCTGCCCTACGCATCCCTTGCCAATATCATGCTCTGCTGCCTACCACTGGCGGCGGGCACCAGCAGCACAAATACTCCTGCCCTTGCATGCGCCGTCACGATCTGTCGCCGACTCCTACTGGCCCCTTTATACATCGCTCGACTACTCCTCTCCCTCGAATCAGCAATGATTGTAAATATGGCTTACAGCTACGGGCGCTGCAGTGCCCGATGGGACGCACAGCGCGGAGGCGGCCAGAGGGGCGGAGCGGCGGGGCTGGATTTCCGGAGGAGCGGAATCGGGGCGCTGGCTTGTTGCTTGCTCTCCATTGGCACCAAATCGCTCAACTGGCGATAACGGAGCCCTCTGTCTTCTAGAGCCGGGGAGTTCGCCAGACGCTTCCAGCACCTCCCAGACGCCGACAGCTCTGGAACCCTCCCCGACAGCTATCTATAAGCTCCGCTCGTCGACTCTTCATCCATTCACTCCCTCCTCTTGTGGCACAAGCCCCCCACCCCACCCCACCCCGACACACAGCCATGAGCCTGCTCTTCTACCCCTTCGACAGCCTCTCGCTGCGCGATCCATTTGACGACCTGCTCTTGGCATCGCCCTATGGCCCGCCCGCCATGGCCCGCGCCCCCTCCTGCGGCAGGGCGGCCTGCGCCCCTCGCGCCGCGGCTGCCTGCGGGCCGCGCCGCCAGTCATGCCCCCCGCCCGCCGAGCCCGAGGTGCACCTCACCCGACACGAGGACGGCGTGGTCGCGGAGTGCCTGCTGGGCCGTGGCTTCGACGAGCGCGACATCAGGTGCGCTTCTGCCGCCGCCGCCGCCGCCGCCGCTCCCCGCCGGTCGGGCCAACCATCCAGCACCTTCCGGCTCTGCTCCCTTTGCTCACACCTCGCTGCCTGCCCCCTCCCCTGTGCAGCCTCCAGCTGGATGGCAGGGACCTCGAGCTGACCGTGTTCCACCCCGGCACGGCGCACTGGCGCGGTGAGTTGGGCCACCGCATTGCGGGGACGCCCGCGGACGCCGAGGGCCTGCATTTGATCAACATCTCGGTCCCCCCCCCACATGTCAGCCTCTCCATCCTATCCCGCTCAGCTGACGGCAGTACCTCCTACGGTATCCTCCTACAGTATCCTCCTGCCATTCCAGCGCATCGCCTCATGCTTTCCCGCTGCCCTCCCGCCCGCCTGCCCGCCTGCCGCAGTGCGCCCCGCCGCCTACCGCACCACCCTTGAGCTGGCCCCCCACATTGACGCCCAGCACATCGAGGCCTCCCTGCACAGCGGCATCCTCACTCTGACCTTCCCCTACCGCCGCCAGCCCCGCCACCAGCCCCAGCCCCAGCCCCAGGCCCAGCACGGCCGCCACACCGCGGCAACCCCAGCAGGCAGCGACCCTCTGCAGGCCTTCTGTCGCCTGGCAGCCGCGGCCGCCGCCGTCCACGCCGACGCTGGCGCCGCCGAGACGCAGCGGGTGGAGCGCTGCCGCCGCCACCACCGTGCGCCGGCAGCGGCGCACGCGCCCTACCGCCACCCCCACCACCAGCAGCAGCGCCGCGCCTGCAAGAGCCCCGAGCAGGTGCGTGGAACGGTGCGCCAGAGCCAGAGGGCATGCGGCTGCCTACGTGGCCTTTCGCCGGTCCTGCAGCGCCTTGGGACCGAGTTGGATGCTGACCCTTCCTCGCCTCTCCTTTTCCTGAAACTGCAGGACCAGCAGGCGCGCCACGTGCGCTGGCAGGACGACGACGCCTCGCCCGCCGCCACCGGCGCCGCCCAGCCGCAACGTTGCCGCTGCCCAGCCCTCCCCGAGCGCCGCGCGCGGCAGCAGCAGCAGCAGCAGCAGCAGCAGGCAGGCCCCTCCCGGCCCGCCGCCGCCGCCGCCGCTCCCGTGGAGCCTGCACACCCCGGCGCCGCGCCTGCGCCGGTGGAGGACCCCAAGGGTAAGGCGCCTGCCAGCGCCGAGCAGGCGGCGGAGCTGGAGCGGCAGCAGGCCGCCCGCCGCGCCGCCGAGCGCATCGCCGCCGGCAGCGGCAGCGACAGCGATTGGGAGGTGGCAGACGGCGCGGTGGAGGACTGCCCGCTGGAGGGCTGACCGAGCGGCCGAGGGCTGACCGCCTGCCGCGCATGCACCGACTGCCATGGCGGCAGCAAGATGCAGTTGGGATGCCGGCGCCACGTGCCGGCCCAAGATACCAGCCATGCCCTGCCCCGAGATGCCAGCCATACCCTGCCCCCTCTTTTCCCTGTTGTTCTGTTCCTGGCCAAGCACCGGTTTTCATTGCCTCCATTCTGTACCATACCGTGGGGCCACTCGGCGCTCCCTCAAGCTCCTCTCCCTGCACCTCCTTCCCTTGTGAGAGCATTGTTGTTTCATGTAAAGCATACACAAAGCAAGACAGGGCCAGGAAAGGAAGGTGTGAATGGCGCGACCTAACTAAATGCAGAAAGCGGGGGGCCTGAGCACCCCCGCGCAGCAAGCAGACAGCGCAGAGCAGGCAAGCAGACCACAGGAACAACAGCAGCACAGTTCACTTTTGGGTGGGGATTCTACAGCTCCTTTGTCTTCTCTCTTCTCCTTCTTTTGTTGGCTACCAGCTGGGGCCTGCCAGCAGCCTGGGCGTATCCGCCGGCCTGGCGCTGGCGGTGCCCCACTCCTTTCTTTCTTCCTGGGCTCAGGCAATGCCCAGCACATCCATCAGATACCCCACCTCCTCCTCAGCAGACGCCTGCAGCTGCAGCTCAGGCGGCTGGACCACCCTGCCGCCCGCCTGTGCTGCCGGCTGCTGAGGCCAGCCGCCCCCAGGCTGGCTGTACACAGGCTGGCGATACACAGGCTGGTGGTGCATAGGCTGGCTGTACAGAGGCTGCTGGCTGTACACAGGCTGGCGGTACAGAGGCTGCTGGCTGTACACAGGCTGGTGGTACACATGCTGAGGCTGCTGCTCCGCCTGCTGCGCCCAAGCCCCCTTTTGCGGCTGCTCGGGCCTGCCGCCGTACTGCCCCGGCGGCGCCCAGCCCCCGACCTGCGGGTTGCCTGGCTGGCCTCCGTGGGAGGGCACTGGCCCTGCGCCGTGATGAGGCGGGGTGGAGGCTGTGGCGGCGGTGGTGGTGGCGCTGTCCCCGCTGTCCTGGCCTGCCCAGCCGCTGTCGGATCCCCCGCTGTCGGATCCCTCGCTGTCGGATCCCTCAGACCCCTCGGTGCTCTGGGACTCGCCCTCTGTGCTGCCCTGCTCTGTGCCGTCCTGCTCCCAGCCATCCTCGCAAAAATTCTGCTGGGCGTCCTCTGGGCCTGGCCCCCACCCATACTTGTCCTCCTCCTGGCTGACGGGCGCCCGCGGCTGCTGCTGCTGGCGGCGCAGGCCCCCGCGGCGCGCCTGGCGCGGCGGCGCGGAGACGCCGCCGCCGCCGCGGCCGGCAGCCTGCCAGCCTGCCTCACCATTGCTGGGCACAGCAGACCCAGCATCCTCCTCATCTTCTCCCTCCTCCTCCTCCTCGTTGCCCCAGGGTGTAGCGGGCTGGTCCTGCCAATAGTCAACGCCGCCGCCGTCAGCCGTACAGGCCGGTTCCGGCGCTACTGCCCTGGCCGGCAGGCTGCGCCTGGCCTGCGGGCCGGGGAGGAGTAGCAGCAGCCGTGCCGGCGGCTCAGGCCAACAGCCCCGGCCCCAGCCGGCCCAACTTTGTTTGAACCTGCGGCGCTGCAGCATCCCGCCGCCTCCCGCCCTTGACCCCCCTTGCCGCACGCGCTCCCCCTTCCGTGTGCAGTTGTGCTGCGCTCGTGTATTGACCGCCCGCACTCACCAGCTCCCAGTCACCATCTGCCTCCATCAGCGCAGCCTCCACCTGCATGGGGTTCAGGCCCTGAGCGGCCCCCTCCTCCAGCAGCTCCCGAGCCTCCCTGCACTTGAAGGGCAGCGCAGCACGAGGCGCACCCAGGCAGGGAAGGGCTGGCTGGGTCAGCGGCAGCAGGGCTCAGATGCCAGCCGCCGGGTGCCGCCGGCCAGCCGCGGCAGTACCGCCGGCCAGAGTTGGGGGCGGGCCAGAGCTGGCACTGCCAGGCAGAGGCAGAGGCAGCGCCCAGGGCTGGATCCAAAACACCAGACGCACTGCAGCCGGCTGGCTCGCCTGGTCACGTCGACAGGCCCGCTGTCGTGCACCGCCAGCGTGCCGCCCATCAGCAGCTCGGCCGCCAGCTCGGCGCTGCCGCCGGCCGCCGCGGCCGCCGCCGCCGCCGCGTCGGCATCAAAGCCCATGTCGGCCAGCGCCTCTGCGCATGCACGCCGCCTGTGCCTGCGCGGCGCGGCGCGGGGCCAAGCGGAAAGCAGGATGAGTGCCAGCTATAATGCAAGCCAGCTGCCATGCTGTGCGGTGTGGGTGGCATGCGCGCCTGCCAGCATGATGCCAGCATGCATGGGAGAGCGGGTGTGTGCGGCGGCGGCGGCCATGGTGAGCAGGCCGGCTGCCTCAGGCTCAGGCCGGCACGCTGTGCCGAGGCAGAAGCAGGTAGGGGCGCAGACGTGGTGCAGAGCGGTGCGGTGCCAGGCACAGATGGTACTGTGGTACCGCGGTACCATGGCGGCTCCCGGCCCACACGCTCACTCTCTCATGAGGTCCAGAGCGTCGCCAGACAGCTGCAGCGCCGCCTCCCGGCGCGCCACCGCCTCGGCCTGCAGCCGAGCCGCCCGCTCCGCCGCCCGCTGCTCCGCGGCTGCCAGCTCCGAGGCGGCGGCGGCCTCGTCGGCGCCACCCGGCTCCTGCCAGCCGGGCTCCTGCCCCGGCAGGGGCCAGGCGCCGGCGGGCGCTCGCTGCTGGTGCGGCGCCTGCGCCTGCTGCGAGCGCAGGGGGCCGCCGTGGCCGCCCCTGGGGCTGCGGCCGTTGTCGCGGTCGCGCCGCCAGCCGTCATCGGCCCTGTCATCGTCCGCCCTGGGCCTCACCTCACCCCAGCTGCCCTGCTGCCTGACGGCCGCATAGGCCGCCTGCTGCCGCGCCACCGCCTCCGCAAACCTGTTGCTCGCCAGCTTGGCGGCCGCCCCGCCAGCCGCCGCGCGAGGCGTCGCCGCCGCCGAAGGCTCCCGCTGCTCCTGCTCCGACACACCGCGCAGCGGCCTGGGCCCGCGCGCCGGCTGCGGCGGTGGCGGTGCGGCAGCCAACTTCCGCACCGGCTTCACCGCCTCAGCCTCCTCCATGAAACCCTCTGCGCCGCCAGGTGGAAAGCAGGGAGGTGGAAAGTACAGCGTAAGGTGGATAGCAAACAGCTTGCACCGAAGTGGGAAGTTGCGGCGCTGCCTGCAAGCAATCGCTGCTGCCATCACAGGCCAGCGGCCCAGCGCACACAGCGGGTGGGGCACGGAGCAGGCATGCCATGCACCAGGGGCAGCTCCCGGCGCCCTACACCCCGCCTCACCCTGGCACGCGGGGCAGCGCTGCGCCACGCGCAGCGCGCGGCCGTTGTGGGCCAGCATCTGGTGGGGGCGCTGCCGGATCTTGATCTGTGGGGCCAACGGCAGAGGGCATGGGGCGCAGGCGCGAAGCACAGCCTCATAGCTCAGCGCCGTCTGAGAAGTGCAAAGGGCCTTGCACACCTTGTGAGCAGCCCGTCTCACCAGGATGGCATCCAGCGAGCGCTGGGAGGTGTTAATGCCTTTGCTGGTCTTGAGGGAGCGCTCCAGGTGGGACACCACGCAGTCTGTGTGCAGCACGAGGTCGGAGCAGCCCGCGGAGCAGCTGCCTGCAGGCGCGGGCACGGCAGGCGGGCGGGTGGGTCGCAGGGCGCGGCCTGCGGCGGCGGCGGACGCTGGCACAGGGCGCGGCGGGCGCGGCGGGCGCGGCGATGAGGCAGGCAGGGCCTGTCCAAGGTTTTGCCTGGCCCTCCTGGCCGCAGCAGCCTCGGTTTGGCTGGGCGTGGTTCAGTTCTCGAGTTCAGCCCGGCCTTCCCGCGCACCAGCTATGTGATCCTCCTCCTCAGTGTCCACATGTCGCCTGCACAGGCTGCAGCACTGGGGGGACAGGGCAGCAGCCTGCCCCTCGTCCCCAGCGCTGGACAACTGCTGGGCAGGCCAGGGGGCCAGCACTTTGCCCTTGGTGCGCCCCATGGTGCGATTGGGAAGCGCAACAAGCAATGATGCACTGGGGCCGGCGAAGGAACACCGCCGTGCCAGCCATGCTCAGCGAAGCGCACGCCAAGTTGGCGGCCGGCGACAAGTTTGAGTTGCGCTGAGTTGTAATACAAGTCCTGCCTGTGCCGAGCTGCCATCTCGTTATATCAGATATCTCGCACATGCAAGTAAGCCCAAACAACGAACGCAAACGAGCCGGCAGCAGCGCAGCTGGGTCAACGAGCAGCTGGCGTGCGGCGCCGACACTGCCCGGCCGGCGATCGCCCTGTGCGAGACAAGTCTCGCATTGCCACGCTTGGCGGATTGCTTTGGATGTCCCATTCTGCTTTGCTTTTCACATGAATGCTTGGCCTGACACCTCCCGGACTGACTTTGTTGCCCTTGCAATTGGGGGCTGGCGTGGCGGCTGCTGGCGGCAGCGCTCCCTGCAGTGGCGGCGGTGGCTCCCCCTGGCGGGCGGCGCTGGGCACCTCCCGGGCTCGTCCCACACATGCGCCAGGGCTCGTGTGGCGCTGTCTCGCACGCCCAGAATACTTAATTGGATGTGGCCCCCCGCCTTTGCCCGGGCTGGTGTGGGAGCTAGGGCACGTGATCGCTCCGGTGAGGGCGCTCATCAATTCTGGCATCCCTCGTCTTCCTTCCATCGCAACTTCACAAGCTATCACCAGCACAAACGAAGGACCCGTGCGGGCCTGGGGTTGTCCAGACGCCGCTTGCACCCACTCTCAGTGCGCACCCAAGAGCTCCCCGTTCAGTGAAGAGCTCCTGCACCGGGACTCTAACTACATAGCGCAGCTGGGGGAGCCGCGGGACAGCGGCTGCGTCGAAGCGGGGACTGCACGACTGCAGCTGGAGGCTGGGCTTGTTCGCAAGTCCTAGAGGTCTGGTGAGTCTAGTAGCTGTGATTGAGCCTGGAGCCGGTCGGGGGGAGGGCCGCACCACTGCGCATGGGGGTGCACAGCCGGAGGTAGCCGACACACCCTGCTTGGTCGCTGCAGGTAGCTAGCACTTTATGCCCCGCAGTCGAAGCTCCAGCGGCATTCTTGGGCGGAGCCAGAGCTCTGCGGCCCTGGCCAGAGGCCCCGGCCGCGCGCCCCCCACCGCCCGGATCGCCTTGCGCAGCGGCCTGCTGGCCTGCGCCCTCCTGTGGGTGCTCCTAGGTGCGCCGGTGCTCCAGGTTGGCCCTGTGCGCAGCTGAGGAGACCTGAACCTCTGGCGGCACCGCAGCAGGCCGGCACCTGAGCTCCCCACCCCTCGGGGGCAGGCTGCAGCCCGCCTAGACTTTGCTGAGCCCTCACATCGCAATGCCCGCAGGTTTTGGCCGCGTGCTGCGCGTACGGGGCAGCCAGACGGCGCTCGTGCGCTCAGCGACGGCGCTGCCCTGGGGCCAGGAAGGCCTGGCAGCAGCCGCAGCCGCAGACCAGCAGCGTCAGCAGGAGCGGCGGAGAGCGCTCGAGGACGGCGAGGCGCCAGTTCTGGCAGGAGCTGGTGCCGAGGAGGAGGAGGAGCAGGAGGAATCAGAGGTGACACGGCCCACCATACCCACCGCCAAGGCCGCAGAGGCCGACGAAATGACAATCATTATGGCCGTCCGCCACCGCTCGGAGACGGGCCCCCGGGATGCGACGCTGTCGCAGGCCGCCATCTCCGCACTGCTGAACCAGGCCGCCAACAGCGACACATGAGCCTGGTCCCAGCCCACGGCGGGCACGATGCCGCTGCAGCGCCCCAGGTGCACCCTTGAAACAGCTCAAGATGCGCAGCACGCTGGGGCGCAAGCGCTGCGCCCTTGCCTTGTATTTCCACGTTTCCACATACCCGGGCTTCGTCCCCGGGCGCTCCTGTTGCGCCCCACCCGCGTCCCTTCCTATATAAACCCCTCCCCTTTCCACCTCGGTCACTGACCACACCTCCGGCACTGTGCTTGCACACGTGCGCGTCATCCCTGTTCGCACTCTCCATTCCTTCCTCCCCGCTCTTCCAATTTTGCTCTTCCTTGTTTGACTCCATAACCTTGCCGCTGCTGCTGTGGCAGCGCCCTCGGCACAGAAATTGCCAGTCCTTCCCCTCCCTCTGGAATCCACTTACCGTCTTAGCCACTTTTATGAAGCCCGACCCGAGCTTGGCTGGGCTTGCAAGCTGTCAACAAGCAGCTCCCAGCAAATAAGTCGCTGCCTGCCTCGACCACCTCGCATTTTGATATCAATGCCTAGTACCTTCTCCATTCAATGGTCTGTGCTTCTTCCGTCTACTCTTTCTCACATCTGTAATAAATCGACCTAGAAACCTTCGGCGGCACTTGCAGACTGGTGATGACTGAACGGGCGGTTCCCCAGCACGGGCTGCAGGGGCCGGCAGCTGCAGTCGCTCATCCGCCAGCTCCCTCACTCATCCTCCAGGTCGGCATAACGAATCTCCTCCACAAGGTTGGCAGCATCCGCCAGCTTGTGCCACGCCTGGCAGTGCTGGCACTGCGCAATCACCTGCAGCACGATGCATGAGCGTGGGCAGGCACGGGCAGGATGAGACGGCGGGGCCTGGGAGGGAACGGAACTGGGCACCCAGTGGGCAGGCTGCGGGCCGTAGGACGGTGGCGCAGCCAGGCGCACAGCACGCCTGTGCATCACCGCAGCTCTGTCAGAGCGCAGTAACAGCGCTGGCGGCAGCGGTCGCCTTCAGCCTGCGCCACGGCGGCGGCGGCGGTGCACCCACCATGCCCTTGTTCCACGCCACCGGGTTCACCAGCCGCTCGCTGCGCCCGCTGCACAGGTTGCAGGTGAACTTCACCAGCAGCGAGCGTCGGGGCAGGTGCAGGTCGATGCTGACGCCGTCGCCGTCGGCGCTGCCTGCCAAGCTGCCGTCCTCGCTGTCGCCAGAGTAGCCGCTGCTGGTGCTGCCTGGCTCGTCGCCTGCACCAAGCGAGGGCGGGGCACATGCAAATCGCCGCCCTGCAGCAACCAACTGCCAGCAGCAGGCGGTTGGTGCTGCTGCTACCAGGCTGCTCCTGTTGCTACCAGGCACCCCACCGCAGCACACTTCACCCCCTCCCCCGCTCACTTGATGAAAGCAGGAGCGGCTGGGGCTCTTGCTGCTGGCCATCGCCGCCCGCCGCACGGCAGCGCATGGGCCACGCGCGCCGCCCTTGCTGCCGCCGCTGCCACCGCTGGTTCTGCTGTATGCGAGAGCTGCTGGGGGCTGCGGAGGCGCGCAGCTGCGGCATGCGAGGGCTGCGTGGCAGCGCCGCACAGGCGGCGCGGCCTCGGAAGGAGGCAGGCGGCGGCAGAGCGGCGCCGCTGCCCTGGTTGCAAGCCACCCAAGCGGCGTGCGGGGCTGCCAGAATTGCTGCTGTTTGCATCGTTGCTGTGGCTTGCAGGTGCGCTGAGAAGCCAGAGGGTCTAGAAGGCGGCCAGACAACCAGGGGAACGGCCGTTCACAGCAGCGGCAGAATGCTTGTTACACCGGCGAGAGACAGACAGTGCCAATTGATGGGCAGGCGCGGTTGGGCTTGGTTGCCGACGGAGTGGTGGGCCCCTGCTCCGCTCGAGCGCAGCAGGCAGCCGATCAATTCTCACCAGAGGCAACGGGAGGAGCCGCATTGTCCCTGTGCGTGTGCCTGAGTTCCCCCTGCCAGCGATCAGCCTTTGCGGAGCACTGGGGATGCGGCGCGGGGTATGAGCGACCGCGGGAGGGCTGGGGGCGTGCTGGTGGAGCCCCCAGCCGTGCAGACGGAACCACCACCGATCAGCTACCTGTACACGCACCTCCATGACAGCATCCGCCTGGAGCTGGACAACTTGGGGCAGGCCGTGCTCCAGCTACAACAGACCGGCAACAGCGGCAGCGCGGGCCTGGGGGCAGAGCTGGCGGCCCTGCAGAACCGCTACCACTTCCTGGAGCAGGTGTACAAGTACCACAGCAGCGTGGAGGACGAGGCGAGCGCCGCCGCCGCCGCCGCCGCTCGAGCGTGCACTCTGCGAGCCCTGCCGGCCCTCCGCCTGCCAGGCTCTCCGCATTCTGCGCAGGCTGGGGCAGCAGGGGGCGCGGCCGACCCGTCGGCGCGGCCGCGGAGGGTGCTGCCACCCCACCCACGCCCCGCCCACGCCCGCCGCCCTCCTCCCGCCGCAGGTGGTCTACCCCGCCCTGGACTCCAAAGTACGCAACGTCACGCTGGCTTACTCAGTAGAACACGAGGATGAGGTGAGCGCGGGCGCGGGCCTGGCCACCAAGCAGCCGAGGCAGTGTGGCAAGCGCCGTGTGGAGTGGCGTGTGGCGAGCGCATGCGCGGCCGCACACCGCCCCTGCGTGCTGCATCCCGCCCCGCCTGCAGGAGCATCTGTTCGAGCAGCTGAACCAGCTGCTGAGCCGGGCCCTGGGGGAGCCCGAGGGGAAGGAGCAGCTGGCGGTCGTGCGCCTGCTGGCCCGCAAGGTGAGGGCTGGGCAGGGGCAGGGGCAGGGGCTGGCGGTCCCTGCTGCCCTCCCCTGCTGTCCACCCTGCGCTGCGTGCGGCGTGCGGCCAAGTCGCGGGCGCCGCTGCCGTCGCTGTCGCCGCCGGCGCGCTTATCCTACCCCCTCAGCCAGCCCAGCCGGGATGCGTGTGGTGTGCCGGTCGAAAGCAGCTGCTGGTTGTCAACGATCGGGGAGGAGAGGAAAGCGCGTGTGGTGTGCTGGCCCGCAGGTGGAGGAGATCCACACCACGCTGCGCAAGCACCTGCGCAAGGAGGAGGAGCAGCTGCTGCCGCTGCTGGTGGCCCACTTCAGCACCGCGGAGCAGGCCGAGCTGGTGGCTCAGTTCCTGTGCTCCATCCCGCTGTCCACTGTGGAGGTGGGTGTGGTGCTGGCCGGTGTGGAGAGGCACCGGGCTGGAGGCACCTCGCTGGCCGGTGCGGGGAGGGTGGAGGCACGAGGCTGGCTGATGTCGGGAGGGAGGGAGGCACCGGGCTGGCCGGTGTGGGGAGGGGCGGAGGCACCATTGGCGCGGTGCATGCGGGCTGCGCGGACCGTGTCGGGAGGGTGGGAGGCAGCGTTGGGCGGGGCGTGGGGCGCCTGGCGGCCGGTTGTGGCATGGAGGCGGGTGCAAGGGTGGCATAGCAGCCTGGTTGGGTGCCACGCCCGGCCCTGCCGGCCATCAATCTGCTGCTCCCGACCCTGCTGTGCCTGAGGTTGCCCGTGGCGCCCCCCCTGCCCGCCCGCCTGCCCATCTGCAGCAAGTGCTGGGCTGGCTGAAGCAGCAGGTGCCGCAGGCGGAGCAGGCCAGGCTGCTGGTGCAGCTGCAGCAAGTGGTGGCGGACCGGCTGCTGCAGCAGCTGCTGCTGGCCTGGCTGGCGCCGCCAGAGGCAGCCGACGAGCCTATGGCGGTGGATGGGGAGGAGCGGCGGCAGGCGGGCGCCGCACCTCCTGCCGCCACGCGGCAGCAGGGGACGGGAGGCGGCGCGGCGGCGGCAGCGCCGGTGGCTGCCGACGGCGGCTGGCCCGGCGGCAGGCGCTTCTGCGGCGGGCAGGAGGAGTTTGAGTGCTGCCGAGAGGCCAGGGGCGGCACCAGGGGCGGGGGCGGAGCCGGGGCTCCGTGCGGCGGCAGCAGGGCAGCTGCCGGCGGCTGCCGGATTGACCGAGACTTGGAGGAGGCGGGGCAAGTGCCCGGCAACAAGCCGCCGCTGAGGGTGAGCCAGCGCATGGCAGGCTGCCTGTTTGTCTGCCTCCCTGTCTGCCTGGGCCCGCCGCGTGCCAGCCTTTGTGGGTGCGGGCCGCGCCTACGGCGCCGATGTGTTGCGTGCACTGCCTGATGGTGCCACATGGTACTGCATGTACTGCTTGATGGTACCGCAGGAGATCTACTACTTCCACCAGGCCATCCGCTCCGCGCTGCACAGCTTCGCGGCAGAGGCGCGGGCGCTGCGGGCGGCCGAGGGCCGGGTCACCACCTCGCAGGTACAGACAGCGCTGGCGCCGTCGCTGCTCCAGGCCTGCTAGGCGCTGCCCGCTGGACCAGCGCTGCCTGCTCCTTGGCATCGCCTGGCGCCTGGCCATTACCACGCTACGCCGGCCAACCTACGCCGCTGCTGCTGATGGTGCCGATGGCACTGGCTCCCTCCCCCTTGTCCCCGCCTGCAGCTGTCGGCCCTGGTGGAGCGGCACCGCTTCATCCGCGCCGTCTGCCGCTTCCACTCCGCCAGCGAGGACGAGATTGTGTTCCCGGTGCTGCGCCGCGTGCGGGCCGCGGCCGCCGCGGCGCAGCCGGCGGCGGCGCAGCGCCAGCAGCACGACGGCTTGCAGCAGCAGCAGCAGCAGCAGGCGGGGGGTGGCGCCGGAGGCTCCACACCACGGCTGCATGTGGAGGATGACCATGATGAGGAGGGGGCTAAGCTGGAAGAGCTGGGCAGGTTGCTGGGCGCGGTCAAGGCGCATGCCAGGTGGGCCCCCCGGGCTGCCGCCTCCTGCTGCGTTTGGTAGGTGGCGGGCGGTGGCAGGTGGCGTGGGGCGGGGGCCTCGAGCCAAGCATCACCCGCACCCGCCCCTGCTTGCTGCGCCGCCTCACTCTACCAGCCCTGCCAGCCCAAGCCTGCTTCGTTTCTTTCTCCTTGTCCCCGCGGGTCCACCCAACCTGGTCTCCCCTTGCGTGCTCCCGTTCTTCCCGCCTGGCGCAGGCGCGGCGCCAAGGAGGTGGCTGCCCTGGTGTGCCAACTGTCTGAGGTGGCGGACAGCCTGGCCAAGACCATGCACCGACACATGGCTCGCGAGGAGGCAGGTGGGGTTGGCAGCAGGCTGCCTGATGTGGGCTGGCAGGCGGGGAGGACTGGTGCGGCGCCGTGGTGGGCTAACTGGAGCGGTGGGGCGCGGCGCGTGCGCCGCACTGGGCCGCTCCTGCCCAGCCGGTGCTGCTCTTGCTGGGCAGCACTTCCTCACTTCCTCCTGCACACACACACACGTGTATGCGCAGCACACCCCGCATCGACCCCACCCCGCCACCAACGCCAGCGCCACCCCTCTGCCGCGCTCCCTGCAGAGGTGCTGCCCATCCTCACGCGCTCAGTGTGCATGGCGCAGCAGCGGCACATGGTGTGGCGCATCCTGCGCGCCATGCCGCTGCGCCTTCTGGAGCGGGTGATGCCCTGGGTGGCGGGTGAGGCTGGGGGGCAGCTGCGAGGAAGCTGCATGAAGCTGCGAGGAAGCTGCAAGCTGCTCCGGCAGCGGGCCGTGCCGAGGGCGCCGCATCGCGCCGGCCGTCCGCCGCCGCCGCCGCTGCTTCCCTGCTGCAGCCAGGCCGCACCAGCGGCCCAGGCTACCGCTGCGCGCGTGCGGGAGCACGGGATAGCCTGCCTCCTGCCTGCCTGCCCGCCTACCTACCTCCCGGTGCCCGCCCGCCTCCCCCTGCAGGGCGGCTGCGTGAGGAGGATGTGCGGGAATGGCTGGCCAACATCCGGTCGGCGGCGCCGCGCCACGAGGCGCCGCTGGTGGAGCTGCTCTGCCAGGTGGGCGGCTGCGGGTGTGGTGTGGCGTGGCGTGTGGTGTGCAGTGTGCTGTGCTGTGCTGTGCTGTGCCGCGTGTGGTGTTTGGGTGGTTAGGGGCTGGACTTGTAGCCTGCAGCGCGGCTGGGGCTGGGCAGCTGCAGGGGTGGTCGCCGCCGGCGGGGTGGAGGCGTGGGCAGCAGGCCCGGGCGCGTGCTGCCCGCCTGCTATATGCTGGCGCGCCAGCACAGCAGCGCTTGCCCTGCATGCGCCTTGTGCCCTGCACTCTCCCCAGGCTCACCCTGCATCGCCGCTCCCCTGGCGTGCCCCTCTTGCTGCCCGCAGTGGGCTCGGCGCGGCAAGCTGATCATGCCTGCCGCCGACGGCGCCGGCGGCACCTCTGCCAGCCGGCGACGCAGCCTGGACGACCCTTCCTTCTACCCCAATCAGACCTGCGGCCCCGCCTCCTTCCTCAGCAGCATGGCCATCTCCCAGCAGCAGCAGCAGCAGCAGCGGGACGGCTCTGGAGACCTGGAGGCCGCTGCTGGCGACGACTCCCAGCAGCAGGTCGGGGCCGCGGCGGCGGCCACGGCAGCCGCGGCCCCGCCGCCGCAGCTCAAACGCATCCGTACCGAGGCAGGCGGCGGCGCCGAGGGCGGCGCGCCGCTCGGCAGCGGCCTGCTGCCGCTCAGCCCGCACGGCGTGCTGCTTCCGGGGCTGAGCCCGCGGTTTGGCCGCGGCAGCGCGGGGTCTTCGCCCACCACCGACGACGGCTCTGCTGGGGCCACCAGGCCCATCGACCACATCTTCCAGTTCCACAAAGCCCTCAGGTGCGCCTCACCTCCCTGGGGCCACCCGCGGCAGGAGTGAGGCCGCCCGTGGCTCCTACCCAGGCTCCTCATGCTGCACCTCCAGCCCTGCCCCGACGCTGGCTCGGCTAGGGAGATGGGGGGTGTTTGGAGGCAGCCGGATGGCACGCGGCGGGCGGGCCGCTGGGCGCGCTGCGCTCCTCGGGGTGGCATGGCCGAGGCGTGTGCCACGCTGCGCTGTGAAGTGCTGTGCTGTGGCATGCTGTGCTGTGAAGTGCCACGCTGTGTTGTGCTGTGCTGTGCTGTGCTGTGCAGGCGAGAGCTGCGGGAGATTGAGGCCTCGGCCGTCGCCTTCCAGGCGGCCACAGAGGAGGCCACCGCCTGGGAGTTTGACGCGGTGGGTTGCTGGGATTCACCCTGCGGCACGGTTGAGCTGCGGCTGGTGGAGCGAGCGTTGATGGGGGGGTAGGGAGCGCAAGCTGGGGAGGGGGAAGGGTGCTGCTGGATCAGTACAGAACGGCCGCTTCCGACTCTCTGTGAGAAGGATCCTCCCTTCTTGTTGCTCCTCTCACCTGCGCAGGCCATCCAGGAGCTGGAGGCCAAGTTCCAGTTCCTGCGGGGCATCTACCGCGCTCACAGCAAGGGTGAGCTGGCGCTGAGCTGGCGCTAAGCTGGTCATGTCGCGCGCAAGCCATACGCACGCCACCTCGCACACCGACGCCATCCGCGGTCCCTGCGCCTGCCCCACACACCCGTGTCAGCCCCGCCTCCCATCCTACCGTGCCAGCCGCCCCCTCCCGCTGGCCCCGCCTTGCTCCTAAACATCCACATCCGCATGCCCTGCCCTGCAGCCGAGGACGAGATTGTGTTTCCGGCGCTGGAGGCCAAAGAGACGCTGCACAACGTCAGCCACGCGTACACGCTGGACCACAAGGAGGAGGAGCAGTACTTTGATGAGCTGGCGGCGGTACGTACTGCCGGTACCGCCGGTACCGCCGCCTCCCGCACCGCCCGCCACGCCGCCCCTGCGTTCTGGGCCGCGCCGCGTGCCGCGCCCGTGCCGCGTAGCGAGCTCTCACACGTCGGCAGAGCCCGGCGCCAACCGGGCGCCTGCCTGGCACCTGCCCCGAACCCCTCCCCCAGATTTCTTCCCCTTTTTTCCCAATCCTCACGAGAGCTCCTGCCCCCGCATCATCTCCCCCCCCACCCCACCGTGCGCAGGTGCTGGCCCAGATCAAAGCGGCCCGCGAGCTGCCCGAGCTGCGGCAGCACGCCGCCCAGCTGTCGCGCATGTGCGCCGCGGTGCGCGCCTCGCTGGAGACGCACGTCAGGCGCGCGCCGCCGCAGCCGCCGCTGGAGGCTGGCCTGCCTGCCTGCCTGCCTGCCCGCCTGGTGCTGCCTCTTCCCCTTCCTGCTCCTCCCACCCCCCTGCTCCTGCCCCTCCCCAGCCCCTGCTCCTGCTGCCAGCCCCTCCTTGCCACTGACTCTGCACCCACCCCCACCCCCCCACGCCTGCCCGCCGCAGGGCCGAGGAGCAGGAGCTCTGGCCGCTGTTTGCCGAGCACTTCAGCATTGCGGAGCAGGAGAGCCTGGTGGGCGTGATCATCGGCAACACGGGGGCAGAGGTGCTGACCACCATGCTGTCCTGGGTGCAAGGTGGGTCGCAGCTTGCTTTTGCTTTCTCTGTTTACTGTCTGCATATCCACAAAGGAACTTGTGACAGCAGCCCGGCTGGTGTGGGGCGCCTGAGGCAGGGGCAGGGCCCTGCTCCGGGTGCAAGGTGGGTCACAGCAGGCCGGGTGGAGGGGGTTGTCCTGAGGCAGGGCCAGGACCCTACGGCAGGCTGTGGCTGGGGGAGGCCGGGCGGGACGCTCGTCCCGACCGACGCGCGGCGCGGCGCGGCGTGCTGCCCCGACCGCAGCGCAGTGCTCTTGTTGCTCTGCCACCAGCGCACGCACGCACCGCCCACACCGACCACACCACACCACACGCACCGACTGACGCGCATGCCGCTCCCCCTGCCCGTGCTGCTCCCCCTGCCCTGCCCTGCCCTGCCGCAGGCTCCATGACTCTGGATGAGCAGGAAGCCATGATCGCCTCCCTCAAATCCGCCTCCAAATCCACGGCCTTCGCGCAGTGGCTGGGCGCCGTGCGCAGCGGCCCCGGCGGCGGCGGCGGCGGCGGCAGCCCCCCCGCGGCCGCAGCAGCGGCCGCCGCGGCAGGCGGCGGCCTGGCCGCGGCCGCGGCCGGGGGCGGCGGGGAGGGCGCGGCCGCGGGCGGCGCCGCCGCAGGCGGCGGCGGCGGCGCCAGCCTGGCGCCCAGTCACCAGGAGGAGATGGCGGCCACCCTGGCTGAGGTGGCAGAGTATCTGGCGCGGCAGGGCATCGCGGGGCCCGCCCCCGCAGACCCCACCAGCCTCGCCGCCGACAGCAGCAGCTTCAAGTGAGCCAGGGGGGCTGCGCCGCGCATGCGCCGCAGGGGTCCGCCGCCGCAGGCGGCGCTGCCGTGTGCCCAGCCTTCACGCCCTCCGCCGCCGCTGCCGTACCTGGCCCCGCCCCGCTCCACCCCACCTCTGCTCCTGTGCCCCGCGCAACCCTGCCTCTTCGCCTTGCCGCTCCCACCCTTGCCTCTGCCCCTTGCCCCTCCCAACCTT